GGTAGGAACAAACTCTACATCATACAGACCATATCACTATAGACATAATACCCTATTTTTAGATGACGAACATCTCTGACTTAGACTCAGCACATAGTACAAACAACTTATAGACATGATTTCCACCAACTACCATGATTATGAATGCATTAACTATTCATAACGTTTCTTTATACCATTCTTATTAAGCTTTATTTATTTCTCATCAATTTCAAAAATTTGACAGAGTCTCTTTTGTAATTTGGACATTTCCCAATTTACAAATACATTCAAATCAAATTTATAAACACATTTTCCTGCATCAAACAAGAACAATAAAAATTTGCCGAGAGTCGGACACTCTCGGACTCAGCACACATTGCGATCCATCAAATTTTCTAAACTCTTGTTATTCTAATCTTGTGTCCAAAAATATCTCATTACACTATCATTCTCACATCATACATACTCATAAAATAAATAATAGGTACAGAACTAAAGTTTTGTTTATACTTTTGGAAGAAAAGTTTATCATAAGCATTAGAAAAGTGTAACTTTGGAAAAATTCTTTGCCATTTAAACTAACTCCAAATTCTATGAAATTTTCCAGTCCAAAATACATATATTCTAGGATTATAATTAAAATTATAACTCAAAGTTTAAAGATTTCTAAGTTATTCAAAAATTTCCTCCCTTTTTATACATTTTGAAGATTCCACTATCGTGGCATTACTCAAAGATATATTTTTATAAAATAAATTAATGCTCATAAAATTATGAAAATAAATATGTTTAACATATATCTACAATCACAACTATGATAAGAATTTCATCTAAAAAAAACTTTAATTTCAATTTTATATGATTTTTCAAAGTTGCTGAGCGGACATAACAATTCTGTTTCACCCAACTCAAAACCTATTTACTTCCAAGATTTTTCATCGAAAATTCACTAGTCAGAAAATTTTGAAATAAATCACACACGAAATAGAGATATAAAGGAACATGAAATAAAAATTCAGAATTAAATACCAAGTAAATATTTTTACATAATTTCCCAAAGATTCAATTCACATGCAGATTTTTGTCCAACAACATCTCTCAACACATATTTCATCATCTTCCTCTAGAAAAATCCAATTTAAGTTATTTTTATGGATAACTCTAGGTTTTAACATCCAAGGAATCCATTTCTAAACTCTAAAATATGAAAGGAGCATTGTAGAGTATCTAAATATACTAGAATAGCCATACGAAATTTATATAAAACATTTTAATTTGGTTCCAATTAATGTAGAAGTGAGATAAATGATGGTTTAGCCTAGGGTTGATGACAAGAAGACTCTCCTTACCTCAAATGAAGCTTTCAAACAAGAAAATGGAGATCCTTAGTTCAAGAAAAGTTTGTCTCCTATAAGCATCAAAATGACTATATGTTTGAGATTAAGAAGATTTTAGGAGATAATATTGAAATCCAATGCTTTAATTTCATGGATCTTACTCTTAATTGCAAAAAGGATGAACCAAGATGGTGTGGGCAAGCAAAATCAAGCTTCTCTTCTTCCTCTCGTGCTCCCAAAATGACTTCCGTAAGTGAGAAAGAAAATTGGTCTTTCTCTTCTTTAAATTTAACCTCCTTTCCAAAATTACCCTCACTTACTTTTTCACTTACCAATTAAATCCTTTCATCAATGAGAAATTATATTACTAATTTTGCTTAATGATATTACTCTTATTATTATTATTATTACTTCATTTTAAACTCAATTCTAAATTTATCTATTTCACTCTATTAAAAATTTCATAATATATATATATATATTATTTATTTATTTATTAATATCTTTAAAAATTATCAAGTCTTAAAATAACTCATAATACCATTTTATTAAAGTTAATGACAAAATATTTTATTATATTAATGAAATATTTTTGGGAAATACGGGATGTTACACGCAGAACAACCTCAAAATGAACAAGGACATTACTCAAATTATTAAGACACTCAAACAATATTGTCATAATATTTATTATAGTACTTCTTTAGTTTTATATGTTCTTAGATATTTGAATGACTATTTGATGCATGCTAAGGATCGATTTGTGTTTGATATCTGAATATGCACTGGTGCATATCAATATTATGGAATATTGTTGTTAAATTTGATATCTAAATACTTTGTGTATAATATGCATGTAACAGGTAAAATTTAGTTAAATCAGTGGGTGGTGAGGTGAAATTTTTTAAATTTACCTAATGATTTACCTATGAATTCTAGTTTGTAGGTAAATTTGAACGTGTGCATTACTTACAGATTGTAATCCGTGGATAATTACCTAAGGACACAATCCATAGGTAATTACTTACGGACACAATCCGTAGGTAAGTACCTATGGATTGTATCCGTAGGTAATTACCCACGGAAGACATTACCTATGGACAATAATTTCGTAGGTAAATTACCTACGACCATATTACCTATGGATTTTTTCCCGTGGGAAATGTGTAGGTAAAATGATATTACCTATGGATTTTTACCATTACATATGAATTTTTGTCGTAGATAATACAACTTTTTTTTTGTAGTGGCTCTTTTTGCCTCGAGTAATTATCATCGCACCCTTTGAGATCTTCCAATCATCACCATGGAAGATTGTCGTGTAACCTTCACTAGCTAACTGACCCACTGAGATTAAGTTCTTTGTTAGGTGGGGAATATGTCTGACATTTTTCAATTCTCATATAGGCCCGTTCAACTTAATCTTTACAACACCTTTACCTACAATTTCGCATGATTGCTCATTACCAAGGTTTTCAGGAACATAATTCTCGAACAGTTGCTTATGTGAGGTAGCATGGAAAGATGATCCAGAGTCTAACACCCAAGACTCTTCCTTTCTTTCTAGATAACATATTAACACATCCTCTTTCCCTACGATAGAAGCAACATTTGCTTCGTCCTTTGCTTCTTGATTTTTCTGTGCACTCTTGCACTGATTTTTGTAGTGCCCGATTTTTCCATAATTCCAACACTCATTTTCTTCGAGTTTTTGGGAACTGCGATGATTTTTGGACTTGGATCGTTTGCTCTTTGATTTTCTGCATCCGCTTTCTTTGGTCGAACTTCTTCCTCTTGACTCTGTATGCAATACTGAAGAGGTTGATGATTCACCCGACTCCCTTCGCCGAATCTCTTCACTGAGAATCAAATTATGAACATCATCAAATTATAACTTATTGCTTCCCGACGAGCTACTCACAACTGTGACAGTAACATTCCAACTTTCTGGTAGAGAAGACAAAAGTATTAAAGCTCATACTTCATCATTGAACTCGATCCCAACTGAACTCAACAGAGTTGTAACAGTGTTGATTTCATTGATATGTTGCGCCGTTGAAGCGCCTTCAATCATCCATAGGTTGAACAACCGCCTCATCAAATGAACTTTGTTTGAGGTTGATAGTTTCTCGTACATGTTGGAAAAAGTATCCATAAGATCTGCTGTCATCTTTTCTTTTGCAATTTTAAAAGCAACATTACGGGATAATGTCAGTCGAATGGCTCCAAGAGCCTTTCTGTCAAGAATAATCCATTCCTCCTCTTTCATATCATCTAGCTTCTTTCCTGTGAGTGGTTGATCCATATCTTTCTGATACAGATAATCCGCGATCTGCATCTTCCAAAAGCCAAAGATTGCACCATCGAACTTATTAATTTTCACTTTTTCTTCACCTGCAGCCATCACTCCAACTTGGATATGAATTTTTTGTATCGTTTCTGACAATTTCCTTTTACTATTCACAAAATAGTAATTTCACTATTCATGAATAGTATTGTTACTATTCATATGAATAATAGCACCACGAAAAAATTGCAGAACTAACAACCAGCTCTGATACCTGTTGTTAAAGAAAAACGATGAACTTTCCCAAGAAGTTAGATATGTGAAAGTGAAATAAAAGTAAAATAATTGGACACACTAATTGATAACGGAGTTCGGCAAAAAATGCCTACGTCTCCATACTACTGCATATCTCTTACTAGGAGAAAGAAAAGTACACTGGTATTTACGAAAAAAACTCTTAAATCACTCACACCCCACAACCCAATTGCATCCAAAAGCTAAAACTATTCTCTTTGCTTCTTGCTGGCTCTCTCTCGTTGGATTACATATATGTTTTTCTTCATTTTGAGAATGAGGGAAGACTTCAATTTATAGGAGAAGATGTGTTCCTATGCATTCCATAAATTAAGGAACAAACCATGTTTCATGTTTCATGTTTCATGGCTTTTTCTTTTCCATATTTCTATTCTTGTTTTTGTGTTGGTGACTTGTTGTTTGATGACTTTTTTTTCTTTTCCACTTTTCCACTTTTCTATTCTTTTTCATGGATTTTTTCTTTTTTACTTTTCTATTCTTGCTTCTATGTTGGTAACTCCTTGTTTCATTACTTTTCAACATATATTTTGTAAAAAAAACTTAAAATTTAAATATTTATCGCCAAGATAAAAGATAAGACATGTGAAATAATATGAAAGTGATGAAAATTATATAAAAATATAAGATTAATATTAGAAAAGATAAAAATTTAAAAGAATCACCTAAAATATTATTCTTAAATATTCCTATTCAAAAATAACATCTAAATTATTCCTGTTGAAGATAATTATTATATAAAGGACTATTTGTTAAATATGTTTATTTATTTATTTTAAATTTTATATACTACTTTTCCATATCTTTTATGCTCCAAAAGATATAGGATATGATAGAATCCCCCAATTAGACGCCGCATGAGAGGGGCGAAAAGGTCAATTCATGGTAATCCTTGAGTCACGAAACGACCTCAAATATTCTTCACCCTCTTTCTCTCGTCTCGCTCGCTCTCCACACTCAGCGTCTTCGTCTGCGCCCTAATCGAATTCAATTCCAACTCCTCTCATCAAAACCCACACACGGACTAACCCTCGCTCTTCAAACCCTAATTCGATCTCCGAAGAAGAAGAGGAAGAGGATCGATGTGGGCAGCTTCTTGCCTGGCGTCATGCTGCGCGGCGTGCGCATGCGACGCCTGCAGGACCGTCGTTTCGGGAATCAGCCGTCGTTCCGCGCGGATCGCTTACTGCGGCCTCTTCGCCTTCTCCCTTGTCGTCGCTTGGATCCTCCGCGAGGTCGCCGCTCCGCTCATGGAATCTATTCCATGTAACCATCCCTTCCTTTTCTCCTATATTTTCATCTTCTTTCTCAATCGTCAATTTTCATGCGATTGTTAAATTCTCTTGATGCAATTGATATCCCAAACAAAATTTATTTATTCTTGAAGGAAACAAGCTGTTACTTGAAATAGTATCATATGTTGTGATTGTCATGTTACCCTTGCGCTTTTTACTTCCAAGGGTTTTATTAGGCCTGGTTATTGTGTTTAATTTTTATTTCTTTTTTCAGTAAAAAAAATGTTTAGTTACATAATTCCTCATATCCTATGTAATACACGGACGGTTTTTTTTTTTCTTCTCAGCTGAAGTTTTGTTGCATTTTAAGCCATAATTTAGGCCTTATTCTCTGGTGGGACCTCGAATTATCCCTCACAAGCTTCAGCCTTGAGCTGAAGTTTTGGTGCTATGAAACTAATTGTTGGTTTGGAGCTAAGGCACACTTAATTATCATATATTTTATTCAAGGATGTGTAGATAATTAGTGGTCTTGGTAATGAGAGTGTATTGATGGACGGGTGAAAGTTTATGAGATGTGTAGAGGATATTGTTTTTGTTAATGCTGCTGTTAATACTGCAGGGATCAATCACTTCAATCAAACTCCTAGCAGAGAATGGTTTGAAACGGATGCAGTTTTGCGGGTTAGCTTGGGGAATTTTCTGTTTTTCACTATTCTAGCGGTTTTGATGGTTGGTGTAAAAACCCAGAGGGATCCTCGGGATAGTATGCACCATGGAGGTTGGATGATAAAAATTATCTGTTGGTTCGTTCTGGTAATCTTTATGTTTTTCGTTCCAAACGAGATCATCAGCTTCTATGGTAAGAATTTCTTCTAATGTGATTTCCATAGATTCGTAGTTGTTGATTATCACACATGTTGAACTCTTTGTACTTTTTCTTTGCTTTAGTCTTATATTTGGGCCTACATACAATAAATAGTATTAGGATGTTCTCAATTTGTGAATGGAAAAAGTAGCTGTACTTCAGGTGCATGCTGATGACTCTAGCCTTCAATAAGACGACTTCTTTGTGCCTCTAGACATAGGATGTGTTTGAGACAACTTAGAAAATTAGATTATATCAAGAATTTATTATAAATAGAATCAGATTTATTTGGTTAAGTTTCCTCAAAACATTTCAAAATTTATTGGGATACAACAAAAAAACAAGTTTTTACAAAGTAAACTACAAATATGGTGTGTACGTGTCTATGTGAAAAACTATTGGGAAATTTAGAGATTTGGTAATAATGTTCTTTAGGAGACAGAAAAACTGTTGGTAAATAATCAAAAGCTTCAAATTTTCAGAGTATGTAAACGGCTTGCATTTCAGAGAAAAAGGAATTTTATAAATTTCAGTTATTGTCCGGAGAACAATTAGAGCACCTGAATCATAGTTGCAGTTTGACTGCCTGAGACTAACATTTCATAAGTATAAGTTGAATCAAAATTTGATGAGTATGTTCAGAGTGATAGGGGCTTTTTAGTTAACAACTTACCATTTGATAATTGTTTTTTATCATTTGAAATCTATGTTTTTTTTAAAGAAGTAACTAGTATCTCCATGCTTTTGAGCATTCTTCTATTGGAGTTTGATGTTTACATAGCCGACCAAAATAACAATATCTATGCAACTTTCATCGTGAAATGCTCATTACATGAACTTTTGAAGGGCTTGATATCATTGAATGATGGAACTCCAGCTGGAATGAAAAGATTGTTGTAATAAACCTTAGTTTCTTTAAATAATATACCTATCATTTTACCTTATTTGAGCTATTGCTTCGAAATTGGGATTACTTCTCACGATCAAAATATTGTTTTAAATATCATTTAATTACTGTATTGTTTTCTTTAAATGCCTAGTGTAGTGATTCACAATTTGTTTGAAATCTTAATGAAAACAGTATTCAGTCTTTATAAAAGCTGCAAATTTTCAAGATATCAAAGATTACTGAGCTTAAACAGATTGAATTGGAAGAGGATATGTGTATGTGTGTTTGTGTACACTTCAGATGCACTTGATATGTAAATTATTTAATTGTTTATGATTATTAAGAGGTATGACAATATGCAGAAACAATATCAAAGTTTGGCTCGGGCATGTTTCTTCTTGTTCAAGTCATGCTCTTGTTGGATTTTGTTCATGGATGGAATGACAAATGGGTTGGATTTGATGAACAATTCTGGTTAGTTTTGGAGTTTGCTTTATTATTTTACTCCTGTGATGTCATTTTCTATATCTGATATTTTGTCAATGTATTTTTGAATGAAAATTTCAGTATTTATCTGTGTATTTATACAGGTACATTGCTCTATTTGTTGTTTCACTTGTTTGTTATCTGGGAACATTTGCATTCTCGGGAGTTCTCTTTCACTTCTTCACACCATCTGGACAAGACTGTGGAATTAATGTCTTTTTTATTACCATGACCCTGATTCTGGCATTTGTTTTTGCCATAGTGGCTTTGCATCCTGCGGTAAGTTCATCTTTTTTGTTTCATTGTAGCTAACCACTACTAATTTTCTATCCTGGTTTTAAATATGCAGAATGTTAATTTGCCAAATATGTCTCTACTATGACATTGAATCGTCTGTGGTTGAAAATTGTAAATGATACATTTTCCATTACTATGTAGAAGTTCATTTATAATCTGTTATTTTTAAAAGTACATTCTTTTCTGCTATCTTTGTTATCTTGTGTCAATTTTTCTGACGGACTGGTAACTCACTAGAGATGGTTAAATAGTTTAGTTATCGCCATCAGCTTGGGATGTGACTGAAGTTTTTGAAGTTTGGCTTGAAGCATAAATTACTGAAATTTTATTGTTTAGATGGGAATTAGTTTTATCCTGTGTAGATCATTCATTACTTCAGTTGGATTTGAGGTTTCTGAATTATATTCATTTACAGGTTAATGGAAGTGTTTTGCCTGCTTCAGTAATATCATTGTACTGCACCTATCTCTGCTATAGTGCACTGGCTAGTGAACCAAGAGATTACGAGTGCAATGGTCTTCACAAACACTCCAAAGCTGTTTCCACTGGCACCCTTACTTTGGGTTTACTTACAACTGTTCTATCTGTTGTTTATTCTGCTGTGCGTGCTGGATCTTCTGCTGCAGTGCTTTCCCCACCTAGCTCCCCTCGAGCTGGTAAATATTATATAAATCCAATATTTCTATTTCATTGTTTTTTAAATTCCCAACTCAAAGTTTGGCCACCAAATGAGAATGAAATCTAAGAAATAGTTTTATTTGCCTTGAAGCTGAATTTGATTGTGGAATTTGGTGCCATCAAGGAAAATAATTTGTCTTGTTATTTGGTTAGCATTAAATTGCAAATAATTGTGTGGCAATCATTCATTTCTGGTGGTTCGCAGGTAAGCCTTTGCTTCCATTGGATGCGAGGGAGGAAGAAGAGAAGGAGAAAGCAAAGCCAGTTACATATTCATATGCCTTCTTCCACTTGATTTTCTCTCTTGCTAGCATGTATTCTGCGATGCTTCTGACAGGTTGGTCAACGTCTGTTGGAGAGAGTGGGAAGTTGGTTGACGTGGGATGGCCTTCTGTGTGGGTTCGGATTGTCACTTCCTGGGCAACTGCTCTGCTGTACTTATGGTCTCTCGTAGCTCCTATCCTGTTCCCAGAAAGAGAGTTCTGAGCATCACCTTCCTCAGTTTCAAGATTGAGGAAAAATGTGTCCCCAAATTAACTTCTAATATAGTCGAGTGGTGTTGCTTTCATATAGGATATACGGTGTGCATCTATATCTACATACATTGGAATAAAGTGTTATGAATGACATGATTCCTAGTGGTGTGCTTTTAACTGTATAGTGAAAGATTTGTGCCATGTACAAATCTTTATTTGTCCATATGGTCTGACTTTTTCTGCATCTAAAATCATGCAATTTCACTTACTTTTATGTGTTTTGTGACTGATCTTTAAAATTGTGAGAAGAATGATTGAGAACATCCTTGATAATGAAAATGATAGTAGGTGAAACAAAGGACATTTTTAGTGCATGTTTGGAAATCTTCATCAAGAAATCAATTACAATAAACAATTATTTGTTTTTTAAAAGCTGTCAATAAGGTTTAAAAAAAATATTAATTATAGAATGGAAAGTAGGCAAGCCTATATAGCTTGAGGTTGGTGCCAAATTATATTGCGTGTCAACGATAAGGTAGCGGAAGTAGTTTTTCAGAACGAATTTTTAATGCGAATTACTCCAGAAACGTAATGTGTTTGTTTCAGTTTAAAAGAAAAAAAAAATCAACTTTTGTAAATAAATGTCAAACATGTTTTTACATTTTTAGATTTTGAAAACATTTAATTATAATTAAAATTTTAAAATAATTGTAATTTTACATTTACCTTTAGTGTATTCTTTAAATAAATTTTATAGATATCCTTTAAATATATCGATTAAATTCATGACTATGTCGACCTAATAATAACTTGTGTGCGTTTTTTTTAAAGGATAAACTAAATTTTAATAAATATGAATTATTACATTAATTGAAAAAAAAGTGATATGTAATTATAAATTTTAGTCTTTAAAACAAGCAAATTAGATTCTCAACATAGATCTCAATTGCCTCAAAATTAGAACCAATAATATTATTAATATTAGTTTATACTTTTAGATTACTTTTTAAATAAAAATATAATATCATTAATATATTGTTTAGGATTTTTAGTTTATTAATGTATTGCTTCACTGTCAATAGTATATTAATTGAAGTATCCAATATATAGTACATTTCTTCATCGCCAATAATTTATTAATATAATTATTTTTTAGTATATTTCAGTCTCTCTCTCTCTCTCTCTCTCTCTCTCTCTCTCTCTCTATATATATATATATATATATATATATATATATATATATATATATATATATATATATATATATATATATATATATATAAGTGATAACGTTGAGACTATTGAAATCTATGTTGTTGTATTTTAATCACTAAAGTTTACATTTATATCATATATATCCGATTAACCTAATAATTAATATCAAATATTCATATAGTCATATTTTAAATGATTTATATTCATTATATTAATTTGTCCATTAATATATCGATGATGTTATTATTAATAATATTGGCTTAACAAATTCTTGAATGATTGTAGAATATCTTAACGTATCTTTATTTGGTTCTGGTCATAATGGATATTTATGAAATTAACGTTGCATGTTTACCATTCAATTATGCTACGAGATTGAAATTTCATTCCAGTTGTGTGTTGAACAGTAAGCATTTTTCAAAGAAATAGTCAATTTGTTTGTCGATTCTTCTCCATTGTGAGGATCAATGTTGAAGCCCGTGAATAATGATTTTTGCTGAATTACAACAAAGAAGATGCTTTATGATAATGATTATTAGAAAACTTATCTAAAAAGTGACATATTTTTAAATTAAAATTAACTTTTTAGTAACAGTTATTTAATATTTATTGTTGTATTATTTTTTAAATAATTATAATTAAATGTGAGATAGTACACATTTAATAATGTTTAAAAAAAAAAACTCCTCTTTCTCTCATTTCTCCTCCCTTCTTTTGGTCACCGGTGCCATGTTTTTCTCCACTGTCTCCTTGGTGCCACTCTCTTCCCTCCCTTGCTCTCCCTTCGTAGCCCACACTCCTTCTCCCACGACTTGGCTCACCCTCCCTCTCTTTTTGCTCTTAGTCCCGCCCTCTCTCTGTGGTGATAGTGGTGGTTGGTGGAGGTCTACAGAGCAACTAGTTTATGGTGGTTCGATGTCTGGGGTGTAAGGCCACTTGTGGTGGTTAGTTTGTCAGGTGATTAAGGTGGTCTGTGTGATTGGTACTGTCTTCCTCAAGTAAGTAATTCATTTAACTTTCTTGACAGATTAAAATAGTGGGATTAAATTAAATAAAAAATAATAGATTTAAATATTACTGCTTTAAACATTTTGATTTTGTAGATATTTAAGATTGTTAATATTATAATCATAGACCGTTATTATTTTTTATATTTTAGGCAAAATATATAAGATTATGGATTGGGAAAAAATAAAAAACTTATTTTAAATCTATAAATACTCAATTGTATAATTCATTTTTCACTCATGAAAAATAATGATATTCACCTTGGTCAATCTTTTTATTATCAAATTGGTATTAATAAATAGGATTTGAGAATGAGAGAGTTTGAAAAAAGTGATCCATGGTCTAACAAATAGTGTGAACATGTCCCGGTTGACAAAAGTTGACAAAAGTAGTTAAGCATGATAATTGGATATGATAATTGGAGTCTTTGAATAAAGACTCTTTTGGAATTCCAAAATAATTGGGAAATAGTCGATAATGGTTTTAAAGAACTAGGAGACATCAAAAGAATTTCAACAATCGCAATCAAAACGTTGAAAGAGAGCATCAGAAGGATAATGTAGTCTACTACATGTTGTATTAAGTTATTGATGAAGACATCTTTGAGAAGATAACAAGTTTTAAAACTCAAAAAGAAGTATGAGATGTGTTGGAGAGAGCATACAAGGACACTAGTTACATATGTTAAAAACATGACAAATAAGCTCAATCACAATGGAGAGATATTTTCTGAAGACCATATAGTGAAGAAGATCGTGAGGTCGTTAACCGATAATTTTGAAAATGTATTGTACAAATAGAACAATCAAAAGATCCATCCGAGCTAACTATACAAAAGTTGATAGCACCGAAAGAAGAAAAATAAGGAAGATGGTTCTCTTGAAACCTATGAGCACCGAAAGAATAAAAATAAGAAAAAAACAACGATTCAAGAGTTCTAAAGTGAGATAGGTGAGAAAACTTTATACTCTCAAAACACTCAAGGTAGAGGCTAAGGTGATAGAGGTATTAAGAAGAAAGAAGAAAACCATCAAAACTGTGACAGAGGACATGGTCAAAGAGAATGTTAGTCAACGAGTCACTCAAATGTTTGGTATTTTAAGTGTGACAAATATGATCATTATGCAAAATATTGTTACTCGATATACATATACATGAAGGACAAACTCATAAGGTTGATTGCTAGAGTTGAGATGGGGAAAAATAAAACATACAAGTTGCAACTAAAAAGCATTTTGACAAGGTGTCTGAAACTAAATATAGAGGACACATTGTTGAAGAGAAAGCATCGATATGATTACCTGCATTTTTGTGGTATAACTGAATTGATTCATGATGATAATCATGATGTTGATCGTGATATCTGAGTTAATGAAAAAAATGCTAAAGGAAGTTAAAATGCTACACTACCAATTATAGTCAATTCAGAAACCGAGGAGGAGGAAGAAATAACAGAGTCCTTAGATTGCAGATCTCTCACTCTTTCTAGTATGAAATTAAACTTAGTCGAACAAAGTTCGAGTAGTAGATTCTAAAGCGACCCTGTCCGAGCTTATTCATCATTGTATTATTTTAAGAATATAACTGCTTTGAGAATAAGTGTACAAAGGTGAGTCCATAAGAGCATAATTATATTGAGGTTGAAAAGTGCAAGAAAAATATTAAGATGCGAGTTGTTATGGACAAGAAGATCCGTGTTATAGAATGCAACAACACATTAACAATGATTGAATTGTCGAGTTATGCTTAACTTATTGATGTGAATCGAATATTAAAAAAGGAGAAAGATAAAAGATTGATAACAAGTCAAACCCGAAAGGAAGGATGAAAGAAGAAGTTAAGTTGGATCGATCTCAATTAATTGAAGAGAAATATTTAATTTGCAGATATCTAGATTAGTTAGTATTACGATTCTAAACTGTTATTATTTTGATATTTTAGACAAAATATCTAGGATTATGGATATGGAAAGTTAAAATAGAAAATTCATTTTAAACCTATAAATACCCAATTATATTATTCATTTTTCACCCCACAAAAGGTAATAATATTCAACTTCCTCAATTTATTTGTTATAAAAAATTATATAAATATTTACATATTGATATTTGACTATTATACCAATTAGTGTTTTGTTCGGGTGTGTTCAATCCTTGACAAAGTTTGTAGTTATAATTTTGTATGCATAATTAAATTATATAATTGTTTACATATACATAACCTAAAAATGGATTCACATTAGATTAATTATGTACATATAACTAATGAGTGTTAGAAAGGAGTGAAAAAACTTCTATTTGCATAATATATAATTTTTGTTCTTTAAACATTATTCACGCGCCAACTGTGCTTTTAAAAAAAAAAAAAACTATGGTAAGAGATATTCATGTTAGGTTTTATTTCAAAAACAATAATTAAAATTTAAAATAACAAAGATATTTTAATTATTTATATTCATTTACTATATATGAAATATTTACAAGATTTTTAATTTTAATAAAAGGCATTATCCCAATACTTAATTAACCTTCAAAGACTATTTTAAAATTTTATTTCATATCAATGAACGACTATAATGCATTCAGTCGATCTCTGTATTTATATGTAAAGTTATTGTCACTAAGGAAATTTTTCGATTTCTATTTTTCACATTATTTGCAACCAAAACATAGTTGGTCACCAAATGAAAACATTATGCAGTCAAAGAAGGTTCAGGCGCTAAAATTGTTCAAGAGAAATATAAAAACGTAAATCTATTAGCGACAGATTTAGCCACAAAATATTTTCACTGTGGAACTATTCAATCAAGTAATCATTGTTTTGAGTAAATTATGAATATAGCTATTGCTGACAGATTTAGTTGTAGTTCGCAAATAGTATTTTTCAGTTGTTAATCTGCATTTTCCTAATAATTTCTATTCATATATAGAACAACCTATAATAGATAAAATATTTTCAAACCAAAAACTGCTAAACATACTTGGGCAGTGAAATTGTTTCCATTGTCACAAACTCATCAAAGCTTCGTCGTGGAATCAGTAGATCTTGAGATATATATGAACACAGATAAATGATGATATTCTTCAAAGCTAAATATTAATTAGAAAATCATAAGAGAGAATATTCTATGGAAATCGCAGTAGGGTACTTTTAAGAAATTATAACAATTGTTATTACTTTTCTCTACTGAAAGTAATAATCTTAGATCCAAAATGGACTTCTTTCCTACAAAATGTCTAATGTCTTACCGGAAAAAAGCGAAACAATTTAGATAGTTTCTTTTAGTTTTTGTAAAGAAAATTCTTCTGAACTTATTCAACAATAAAATGATCTTCATCTCATTCAATATATTAAGTTTCTCCCCTTCTGCCTGATTCACGGGATGCCAGACATGAACCTGCACAATGTAAACAACATTTCCGTGTTATTGTAGAACATAACACACACACTGTTAGTGTATAAGAAGAAAAAAATGAAATAACTACCGTTATTCATTGAATGGAACCATATATTGTATAAGAGCAGCTTGGCCTTATATAATACAAGTATACTTGGGGAAGGTAATAGAAACTAAAAACAGAAAAAAAAAAAAATAGAAGGGAAAAACAGAGAAGAAGATATATGATATATATCTCTATCACCCTACCTCAAGCTGGGCATAGAGATTTCGTAAGCCAAGCTTGGAAACAGCTATGTGAAATGGTGCAGGATGGAAAGACTTGATAAAAACATCTGCCCTGAAGAAGATGAATGAGACTATCAAGAAGTTTTTGACGTATGAGGTGGCAATTAATTTCTACATGTTTAGTACGTTCATAGAAAATATGGTTTTTGACAATTTGGATGACCAAATTATTGTCACAGAAGGTGACATAAGGGATAGGAATGGAAAGATGCAGGTCACAAAATACGTATTGGAGCCACTGAAGTTCACATGTGAGATAGGCTAAAGAACGATATTCAGTCTCTGTAGAAGACCTGGAGACCGTGCTTTGTTTTTTGGATTTCTAAGAAATTAAAGAGGTGCCTAAGAAGATGTAGAACCCAGAGACAAAACGACATGTAATAGCACAAGTGACCCAGTCAGAATCTGAAAAAGCTTGGACCTTAAGCTCAATGTTGTACTGATAAAACATACCACACCCTAGAGCATTTTTCATATAACAAATAATTCTCAAAGCTTGATTCCTGTGGGGTTCACGGGATGAAGAAAAGAATTGGCTTAGTTGTTGAACAACAAAGCATATATCAGGTCGTGTGTGAGTCAACTAAAGAAGTCGGCCAATGAGCTTGCGATCAGAAGAAGGATCAGACAGCAACATTCCTTCATCAACATGTAATTTGGTGGTAGGATCAGAGAGGGCGAAGGTGTAGGTTTACAACCAAGAAGACCTGCTTTAGAGATAAGGTCGAGGCAGTATTTTTGTTGATTCAAAACTAAGCCTTGTGGAGACCGAATAACTTCAAACCCCAAAAAATATTTAAGAGGACCAAGATGTGAAACTTATCATGACAATGATTTTTAACCATTTGAATTTCAGAAATGTCATTACCTGTGAACATTATATCATCAACATAAACCAGTAACACTGATGGTGAAACCAGAATGCTTGACAAAGAGAGCATAATCAACTATACTTTGAGAATAACCCAGAGTGAGAAGTTTAGATGTAAGCTTGTTGTTCCAGTTTCTGCTGGTCTGTTTAAGGCCATAGAGAGACTTGTGAAGTTTGCACACAGATTGAGGATGAGGAAGAGAAAGTTCAGGTGGAAGCTTCATGTAAATTTCTTCATCCAACTCACCATGCAGAAAAACATTGTCAACATCCAATTGGTGGATGAACCAATGGTGGACAATAGCTAAGGCAAGAACAATGCGGATAGTAGATAGCTTCACAACAGGAGAAAAAGTCTCAAAGTAATCAATCCCTTCGGTTTGTGTGAACCCCTTTGCAACTAAACAAGTTTTGTATCTATCCATCAAATTATCTGCTTTATGCTTGACCCTATAAACCCATCTGCATCCAATGGTCTTATTGCCAGGAGGAAAAGAAACTAAAGTCCAAGTTTGGTTTCTGTTAAGAGCAAGTAGTTATGCAGACATAGCTTCTTTCCAGCAATCATTTTGAATGACTTCTTTGTATGAAGAGGGTTCACCTTGGGCAAATATTTTATGACAGAAAGAAGTATGATTAAAAGAACATTTATCATAAGAAAGAAAATGATGAATAGGATAGGGAGTAGAGAAGGCTGAATCAGATGTGGAAGCAGAACCACAATAGTAATTTTATAAGTATCGAGGCTTATTTTTAACACGATTAGAGGTCCTAAGAACTTCTGATTAAGTATTATCAGATGCTGTTAGGTGACAAGTGTCGTGAGGTGCAATTTGAGAAGTATTAGAGGTAGGTATGTTAGAAATATCATTGTTTCCGGTAGTTGTTGTGGCAGATGAAATGGGAATATCAAAATGAAATAAGTCATTGTTGGTAGGGGAAGATGCAACAATGGAATAATGTGGAGGAGTTAATAAAGCAGAGTAGGGAAAAACAATTTCATGAAAAAGAACATTACGAGATATGAGAATAGATTTGGAATGAATTTCATACAAACCATAACCTTTGGTGCCAAGCTTGAAGCCAAGAAAAACACATTTTTAGCTTCTTAAATCTAATTTATTTCTGCCTGCAGGATGAGTATTGGCATATGACAGACATCCAAATACTTTGAGATGGGAAAATCGGGTTGTGAGCCATATACTATTTCATAAGGTGACTTATTTTGCAAAAAAAAAAAAAATGTAAGTAACCAATTTATGATGTGCACAACAAACTTTAGAGAATATGACCATAATATGTTAGACATTTTTGCTTGAAAAAGGAAAGCTCTACAAATATTTAAGAGGTGTTGGTGCTTCCTCTCAACAATTTCATTCTGTTGAGGGATTGTCAAACAAAAAGTTTAATGAAAAATTCCTTTTGAGTTGTAATAATCATGCAAAAAGAATTCCTTACCATTATCTGATCTTACTATCTTTAACTTGCAAGAAAATTGGTTTTCAGTTAAGATGACAATGTTTTGAAACAATGAACGAACCTCAGATTTGTTTCTAAGAAGAAGAATCCAAGTAAACCTACTATAGTCATCCACTCTAATTAAGAAGTATTTGTATCCTTCAATAGAAATTATAGAGAGAGGTCCCGAAATGTCAATGTGGATTAATTTAATGAAATGAGTAGATTTTGTGGGAGTATGATGATATTGTAAACATTTTTGTTTTGCAAAAGCACAGGCATCACATGTAGTAACAAGAGAAGAGGAAAGATTAGGATATTGAGAACTTTTAGAATTTTATTAGATGGATGACCCAATTTCATATGCCACAGGTTACAAGATTGAGTATTGTTAATGGAAACAAAATGCTGTATAAACTACTATCTTATACACTTAAATTGCAGAAAACTAATCTTCTGATACACTCAAATTGCAGTTTTTGGTAAGGTAAAACAGACATTTATACTTTTTAGCTGCTCCAATCATCCGAAAGATATTGGTCTACAGAATTAAACAGTGGTTCAAGTGAAAGGTAAAAAGATAGTTAGAGGAATTAATTAATTTAGAAATAGAAAGTAATTGAACATGAAAGCTAGGAACGTAAAGGTGTCATGTAATATAATATTGCCCAAGATTACAATGCCAGAAAAGTTAGTAGTAACAAAATTTTTGTTTGGTAAGCAAATTGAAATGGGGGCAATTGGTTTAAGATTTTTGAACAAGGATTTAAAAGGGGAAATGTGATCAATGGCACCACTATCTATATAATCCAAGAAGTGGTAGGAAAGAAAGAACTTGAGGATTGAATGGTGCACTGATGGACGACAGCAGGGACAGAAGAAGCTTGTTGTGATTGCTGAATTAAAGCTATGAGTGCATCATATTGTTCTTTGGAGACACCATGTTAGACATTTGTTTGCTCATTCTTGGTGGCAGGAACATCCACAGTTGTAGAAGGTGTAGTATCAACCATGCTAGCAGAAGGCTTTGGTATACTAGACTTAGACTTATTTTGGTGATAGCCTTGAGGAAGACCATGTTTTATCCATTAGGTTTCATAGTTGTGATTGGTCTGTTGGCAATGATCACAAAATTTAGTATTGTGTCCACAAATTTTACTAGATCTGCCACGACCATAAGAATTGGAATATCCTCCACGAGGGGCTTTATTGGAGCTTTCTTAAAAACTCACATTGGCTACAGAATCTTGTGAAGGGGCAAAAGAGGAGCCACAAAATTCTTGTTCTTGCTGGTGAACTAACGAGAAAACTCTAATTAAGTTGGGCATTGGTTTTATGAGCATTATTTGGTATCTGACTTGAAAAAATGCATCATTAAAGCAATGAAGAAATTTAATCACACAGTCACCATCTCTTTCTTTTTGGATATTGGAGATTAAGCCGTAAGCACAGAGAGAAATACAATTACAAACAAGAATAGTACGGTAGAGAGAAAGCTCCTTCCAAATAATCTGAAGTCTAGTATAGTATTGGGATATAGTGGAGTCACATTGGTGACAGCTTTGTAGGTCTTCTTGAAGATCAGTGATGCAAAATTTTTCACCATGGGAGAAACGCTGAAGAAGATCATTCCAAATGGTTGTTGCTGAATCCATTCGCATGACGAATTACTTAATTTCAATGGTTATTGAGCGAGTAAGCTAAACTATCACCATTTTGTTACAGTGACTTCAAACTTCATGAAGATGATCATTAGGTGGTGGACAGATTAGGGTTCCAAAAACGATTTTTTTTTTTGTTCTTGGTTTTAAGGGCAACGAAAAAATCGTGTTTCCATTGCTAATAGTTGTTTTCAGCGAGAGGGGGTAGAGACCAGAACAAGAGCAGGGCTTTCTCCGAGATGGAGAAAGAGAGGATTAGAGGGATTGATAAGGTGATTTGAAGATGCCATTGAAGGAGAAGAAGCGGAGCATGATTATTATGATACATGTTAGTGTATCAAGAAGAAAAAACTGAATTCCGTTATTCATTGAATGGAACCATATATTGTACAAAATCATAGTGCTTGGCCTTATATAACACAAGCATGCAATTGGGGAACGTAAAAGAAACTAAAAACAGAAAAAAAAAAAAAAAACAGAAGAGAAAAACAAAGAAGAAGATATATGATATGTATGAAGCAAAATATATATGATAGGTACTTGGTTATATCTGTATAGCAGCAGTCTCAGACCGCTTTGCTTTCTTGCTGTCTTTGGGAGGTACATCTCCATGGATCAAAAAGTTAAACACTTCTAGCTGGGACCGTAATGTCTGCTGTGAAGGCAAGTGATGATAGAACTGCACAAACAATTGAATATGTCTGTTGTCAATGTAAGCTAGGATATACATGTCTCAACTTAATTTCATAAATATATATATATAATAAATGATTTTCCTTTTGAGTAAGTAATTACTAACAAACATTTACATTAATTTCTACTTAAAACTACCATCCAAGTACATCTTTTATCTTTGATAATCTAGTCATACCCAATCTTTAATTAAAATGCCATTATTGTTGTCTCTGTTGCGTTCCCTTTTTTCCAGCCTCCAGTTTTGTAATCTTTCTGCAACTGAAAATTGGGGAACATGATTCCCCCAGCTTCCTCCTTCCCTGAATCGGTTCAACAGTACCTTTTGCAAATTTTCAAGATATATTCTTCAGTGAAAGATTTATTATATCAGAAAACATAGATTATGTAACAAGAACACAAACATAAAGAGAAAGAGGTGCAAGAAACTTACTATATCCAAGTCAATGTTTTCCTCCAAACAAAATTTTGGAGTTTCAAAAGAAAAGGGCACTTCAAAGAGAAGCTTAGTAGTAGTGTTTCTTCTTTTTTTACGGTGAGCCTGCATGTGACAATCACCATCATAAAACTCGTACTGATACGATTTTACGGACAAATGGGAAACCATAATATAAAAACTTTAAAAATAAGAACTTGACCTTTCTCTCAGGCTCGGGGACCATGGGACCCGTTGGTTCAACTGATGGATGCTCACCATGTTGAATATCCTCAAGTGATCTCCTGTTGGCATCCTGCCCTCGCAGAAATAAGAATTCAATTGATAAAACTCTTAGTCATGACATTAATATCTCAACAACCTTAAATTAATTCCAGTTACTAATTAATATGTTACTTTCTGAGCTGAGTTTTGTTGTTTTCTTATTTTGTACGTGTGTTTTTTTACTCTTTTTATAAAAACAATTTTTATTCAAAATTATTTATCTTGTGGTAATTTGTTAAGAGTTATTGTTTAATTATATTTTATTTAAATTAATCATTAGGAAATATTTTTATATTTTAGTTTTTTAAATATTATTTAATATATATATATATATATATATATATTATGTTAATTTAAAAAATTAAAATTAAGATATTATTAATATTTGGTATTTTTTATTATATTTTCATTTTATAAATATAGTATATATGTAAAATATATTGAAGTTCTTTCCTATCATATATTTTTTATAATTTTAATTTTATTTTTCAAAACTAATATTGCAACAAATCAGTATAAGAGTCATTGTTCTTATTGCAAAAATAATTTTTTCACAAGTGATTATTCTACTAATTAATGATAAAAGTTACTATTCATGATTTATGATGATGCAATCTTATTTAAAAGATTAAATTTATAAAAAATTAAGAAAGAGAATTATATCATTAATATATTGTTTAAAGATTTCATCTGGTAAAAATAAATAAAAGAAAAGAGAAACGAAGAAGACAGTCATGTTTACCTGTTGATTTTTAACCAATTATTTTTATTAGAGTTATGATCTAAATTCACCTGGTGAATTTTGAGATTATTTAATAAGAAGAGAATGAGAAAATTTGAGATGCATATATATAAGGGATTTTGAAAGTAAAAAAATGAAATAATCCGAGAGAATTAAGAAATATTTAAATAAATTGTTAAGTGGTCACAACATAAAATTGTTAGGTATTAAGTTTCTTGATTCTAGACTAGTTAAGAAAATTTTGGTAACAAAATGTTGGAGAGATAAGAAATTTTTATTATTTTGTTAAAAAATATAAATGATTAATTGGGACATGTAAAAAAAATGACAAATCTTGATATTAAGAAAAAGTTGTTAAAATTAAAAGGGATAAAGTAGCATAGGAACATCAGTTTTATAACAACATTTTTAAGAATTTTTTAAAGAACTCAATAAATATGTTATTTTTATATTAAAAAATTATAATAAAAAATAAATAGATGTAAAAGAAAAAAACCTATAAAGTAACTTTGAATAGAAAGTTTGTGTGATTAAATATATAAATAAATTAAAAGTATTTAAAATTCTCATAAAAGAAATAAATGAAGGAAAAAAAATTATAATCAAAGAGAAAACATGATGATGCGTATTTTTACAAGAAAATTAATGTAAGAAGAGAATAAAGACATAGACAAAGAAAATCTTACAATGTGATTAAAGGAACAATGCTGCTATGGAATTCACAATAAACAAATTTGATAAAAGAGTCTTTAATAAATGAATAAATACAAAAAAAAATATGAGATTAAATAAAGAGGTGATAAGAAAGAAAATCATAAGATACAAGCAGGAAGAAAACAAGCATAAAAAAACAATAAAAAAATTGAAGTTTGAAATTTAAAATTTAAAATTTAACTAAACATGTATTAAAATAAGGAAAAGAAATATTGAGAATTATTATTTTATTATCTTTTATTTAAATTAATTATTAAAAGATTTTTTATATTTAAATTTTAAAATATTTTTTAGAGAAGAAAAAATGTATTAAATTATAATTTTGATTTAGAAAATTAAGATTAAAATATTATTAATATTTAAATTTTATTCTATTCTATTATATTAATAAAATATATTAAAAAAGTTTCATATTATATATCTTTTATTATTCTAAAATTTTGAAACCCAAAACCCCAACATACATAATTCTTAGTCATACACTATTTTTTTTCTAACATTTTTCTTTTCAACATGAGCTCAACTTTTTGCTGTGGCATGGCAATATAATTGTTGGCAAGAAGCTATATATAAATAAGGAGTTATTTGCTCTTCAGGAAAAAAATAAAAAATAAAAAATTGATCTTTGGTGAATCATCCCCTCAATCTAGAGCACACTTGTGCTTGGGATATGAAGTTTTTTTTCACGGCGACAGAGCTGTAGGTTTCCTCATTAAACCTCGTCGTCCTCGAGCATTCAAAGCAATTACAATTTTATATTTTCTCTTCTTATTTTTCTATATTCTTTATGATAATGAAATGTTAATAAAAACAATTATTAGGATGAAATTCAAGGAGTATACAAATTGAGTATGAAATGAAAATTCTTGGTTATTTTGGAAAAATAAAACTAATGCAAATAGGGTATTAGAAGATATTTGAAGAGAAAATTGGAGTTACTTTACCTTCAGTTGTTCGTGGAAGGATTTCTTAAGTCTTTTGAGGAGAGTAGGATCCTTAACAACACTTATGGGTTGTGCCCTAACCACTAGTCCTCCATTAGGCTGTTCCTCAGTAGAAGTCATATTTGTTGTTCAAGGAAAAATACTTTTCTGGTACAAGGAGAAGGAAAATAATTAATGAAAATATGATAAGAAAGAAATATTACTGAGTTAGATGTCAAGGAACACAAAGAAAATTCATATCATATCATACCTTTGGGAGATAAGACATATTCAATAGTACTTCAAATTAATTCTAGGAAAAAAATAATTTTTGGTTCTCAAAAAATATATTAGCAGGGTAAAAAGTTATTATTATTTTTATTTAATTTGTATTTCTAACGAGGAGTTTCTTTAATGTTAGTTTAAAATACAGGAAAAAGAGATGGGAAGTTTTTCCAAGTTGTAATAGAATCTATTGATTTCTAAAATAAGATAATCATTATATACTTAAAAGAACATTAGACCTCTTCTTTCTAAGTTTCAAAAAACTAAAATGTCATCAAAACTTTATTTTCTAAATCAAAAGTCATCGTAATCCTCCGGTTGACACTTTAGGTAAGGAAAATGTTAAAACTTCAAAACTTTTCCTTTGTTGCCAAGAATTGAGAGGGGTGTTCTAGATCTCAATGAATACTTTTTTTTTTTTCTCAAATCTTGACAAACATGGCAAGTGACTTAAATTTGATATAACAGTTTTCAGATTTAACATTCATTTCCATCATCTTCTTACAAAATTTGTAATTAATTTATCTACCTATGGAAAATTTACAGCAAATCATAGAAAGAAAACGAAATGATGCAAGACCATTTGCTTTAAGAAAAAAAAAAAAATCACATGAGAATATTGTATACCTAATTTTCTGCATATCAATACCAGTTTAACATACAAAGTAGGGCACTGTAAAAGAAGAAGATTCAGAAAGCCTTCATGTTTTATTTTCAGGCATTTCCTCATCATGTTTTGGCTTCTTACAAGCTACTGTTAACAACATTAAGTTAGAGAATATGGCAACAAATCATGCATCACTGAAAGTCGTGTCCTGCACAATTACTCACATGACATCTTCATGATAAATACACAAGAATACTTAATTAGATTGTGCCAAAACAGTAATATAGGTTATTTAAATAGGAATTTTGAACTCAGACTTTGTGCAGAAGCCAAAATTCAGCAAGCATGACCAATGCCCACATTCCCATACATCGTCGATACACAGTTTTGTGTATTGGATCAACACCAGACTTATTCAATTTATAGCTACACCAGTCAGAGTAAACATAAAAACAAACTTTTATCATTAGCAAGTTTACTCTCACAACCAAAGGGTTATCTTTCACCCTACAATCATCATATAATTGGTTATTCCATTAATCAACATGTCTAACTTACAATTAAGCATGTAGCACTTTCACATATGCACATTTAACTCAATTATAACATACTAAATGCTTAGGGTTTGAGGTTCCTTACATATCTTGTAGGAAATCCTTAGTGAATGTCTTTGGACTCTCAATCGGTGTAGTTTCTTCCTTGATTATCAGAGAAACAATCAGACCTATCAAATTGAAGAGGAAAATCAGTATAACACCAGAATGACTTTGCATGCGAGTTTGCAATGTTGTTAATTAATAAAACTGGTCAGAGATGATTAATAGAATGTTATAGAGAGTAAAAAACAAGAATACTGTTGAGGAAATAATCAAATAGAGAATGAAAGAATCAACCTAAATTGCACAAACAAGTTGGTGAACTTAATTGATCTCAACAACACAACTAAAAACTTGATTATTGATGGTGCCTTGAACGATAAATCGATATGGCGATGGTATGGAAGTGTGAGATCTTGAGCTTTGAGACAAAAAAACCTGAGATATAGGTGACAGAAGCGCATGAGGGGAAATGAAACTGTGAGGGAAAGTTTATGACTCTATAAAATTTCTGAATTATTTTTATTTCATATTTACTTAATAAATTATACTCATTAATATGAAATTAATAGGTAGTGGTTCTTACAAAGGTAGTATTTAATTTATGCTATTCATATAGTAATTTTATAAATATTTTATCTAATATTGTTTATTTTATATAATAATAATTTATATTATATATTTAATTTTGTATATTAAACAAACTACCTTTTGTATTAATTTATTTATATTAAAATATATTATTGAACAAAAATTTATTAATGAAGATATTTATTAAAATTTTGTATTAAACATAAAATTTATAAATAATTTAATTTTACTAAAAATATGTTATTAAAATACATATAGTTTTAAAACTTCATAATATATTTACTACACATGTAATTTATTATTTTATTCATTTCTTTTAATTTTGTTCAATTATTGTAAATTTAATTATATATTTTATTGACTACGATGAGTTGATAAATTAATATCTTTAAGCATAAATTTTACTTAAAAATATAATTTAAAATCCTATAATGAATATATTCTTTAGAAATATTAAGATAATTACATATTTTAATATAAGAGGAAAAATTAACATAATTCTTACATCTGACATATAAATTATTTTAACATAAATTGGAGAATATTCTATAAAGGTGTTAAGCTATATATATATATATATATATATATATATATATATATATATAATAATAATAATAATAATAATAATAATAATAATAATAATAATAATAATAATAAGAGAAGACCGTGAAATACTTACATACAGATAAATCGCTCATTTATTTATTGGTTGTTGTGAATTTATTTATTAAATTTATAATTTTTAATATTTTAAAGCAAAATGTAAGATAGACAGATTTTAAAATTACAAAATGAATGAATATATTTATAATTTTCGTGTGTTTAAATAAGTAGACCTACTTATTTTATTTATGAAAAATAATTTTTTTAACTGAAATATCATTTATAGAAACTTAAAATATGTTATTTAATTTATACCAAATACTTAAAGTTAAAATAATAATAATATTAATGATAATAATAATAATAATAATAAACAAAGGTTTTATCATTGAACAAATTATTTTTTATTAATTTAATACGTTATATTTACTACTGGAACATTTAATATTTAATTAAGGAGTTATCATTATTTTATAATATATTTTGTAAAATATTAATACTACATTGAAAATAATCAATATTATATTTTAAATATTAAATGCCTCCTTCTAATTTATTGTGGAAGGATAATTTATTGAAGTGCATTTTCTAAATTATATTTAGGCTCATTTATTAGTGATAATTAATAAAATTAAATAGAAGAGTATTTTTTAAATAACACCATTAAATAGAGTTTTGGGAGTGAAATTTGTTCATATTTGAGTCAAATGAATATTATTTGTTTGTTTTTGGGGTATATATTAGGGCAAATGGAGTATATTTTGTAAGATCCAAGAAAGATAATAAATTTTATATGTTTTAATAAAATATTATGAGATTTTATATTTCCTTTGTTTATTTTTTAAGTGTATTTAAACATATGTTCATTACAGAAAAAATGTGGAAAAATAGAATAAAATTAAAAAGAAAGTAATAACAAAGAAATAAAGCGAAAAATGTATTTATTGATTTCTTTGTAGAGAAAGTGAAAGGAATGAAATTGTCATTTTAAAAATAATAAATAAATAAATAAATTAAAATTAAATAATTATACTTTTAATCATCCATTTATTTTGAAGTTAAATGAAAGTGGATAATTTTAAAAAATATCATTTTTTTTACCTTGTTAGCTATTTTCTCAACATAGAAAAATAAAATATATAGGATTCATAAAAAAATGACATATTTATGTCAATTTTTTGTCTATCCAGAAAATTTTTGCTCTATTGACCAACTACCTTTCATTCTATATTTTCCTTCAAACAAATAACTGTAAGCATCTATCAAGATTATTTTGAACAAATAAAAAAATAGTAATTAATTTTGTCTTGAACTTTGAAAATAATAGTTAAAAATAGAAATATTTTTTCTTGTTTTTTAAAATTCAACCGATAGAACGGAACAAAGTTTCTTACCCTTCACCTAAATTTTAAATAGTGTTATACGTTATGTAGAAATAAAAATGATAAAATAAAATAAAAATTAATTAAAGTCAAGAACATTGATTATATTTATCAGTTTATACATTGAACGATGATAACGTAGCTTCTCATTTATGTTCATGGTGCCTGCTATATTACTACAACGAGATTTACTAGGAAAGTGCCGTTTTATTTCAAAAGTCAATTAGTAGTTACTAATTTGAACCGTTTTCTACATTTTAAATTCCAGTTGTTCAAAACCTTTATAATAAAATCTAATGGTGTCAGATTAGTAACTAAAGTAAGATATTATTATGGATATACTAATTTGTTCTGTAATCACTAAAAAATTTAGTTATATATATATATATATATATATATATATATATATATATATATATATATATATATATATATATATGTTCGATATTAATAACAATCATTGGTTACAAACTACCAACGTCAAAACATGTTGCAATATTTCAGGAGCCAAAATTTCATCAAACATTAAATATTTTTCAAATTTCATTGTCGCTAAATTGTCTGCAATTTATTTTCAAATGCTTTGGTCTGCCAAAACGGAAATTATATCAAATGGGGTTACAAAACAGCACACAAATAGTATATGTAGCTCCCCAACACAGTAAATTTATTAGCTTTCGTGCAAACTGAACCAACCCTAATAGATATATATATATATATATATATCCCTCTTCTGCTGATATTATCTAACGCATCACTAATCTTCATCTTTTTCACCATCAGCTTCATTCACACGGGATGCCGAACCTGAATCCTGCATAATGAAAACTACATCAACTACTGTACGTATCACCTATCTATCTATCTATATATATAGATATATATATATTGTGTGTAGTATACTTGCATGAACATCTGAGTATTAGAAAATAATGCGTACTTGGTTATCTATAGCAGCACCTGCTGCCAGCTTTGCTTTTTTTTTGTTACGAGCTTTCGGAGGAAAATCTTCATGGAGCAAAAAATTAATTACGGCTGGCAGGGACCGGAATTTCTGTTGTGAAGGCAAATGATAATAGAACTGCACAAACAATTATATATGTTAGTTTTAATGTAAGTCAGAATATATATTTCAAATTAATATCTTGAAGAAATTCAGAATTTGCATTTGTACAAACAGTTGTAGCACTTTCTTCCTTTAAATAACATGTATGTATATTTTGATTTCAATCTTATTTTACAACAAAAATCATTGAATGACTTTTGAAACCCTAAATCTTGATCATCTATCCTTACCCAATCTTGAATTGCTTTGCTACCGTCCTTTTTCTCATCTTTGAAGCGTTCCCTTCTTTCCAGCAACCAATTTTGTAACCGTTCTGCAGCTGAAAATTTGGGAACAAAATTTCCCCAGCTTGCTCCTTCCTTGAATCGGTTTAACAGTGCCTGTTGCAAAAATTGCCCAGATATACTCTTTAGTGGACAGTTTGTATATCATGGATCATAGATTCCACTGTTGTAGTTCATGCAGCAAGTAAGTAAAAATAAAGAGAAGGTAAATTTGGACAATAAATTAGTTAGCAACTTACTATCTCCAAGTTGATGTTTTCCTCCAAACAAAATGTTGGAGGTTGAAAAGAAAAGGGCACTTTCAAGAGAAGCTTACTGCTTATTTTTCTTCCCCTTTTAGCTTCAGCCTGCATATGACCAACACCATCATAAAAATCATACATATATTACTTTTTGGCAAGAATGAGAAACCCTTATCTTACAGTTGATCTGGTGAATTCTTAAAACCCGAAAGATATGAAATTTTGAAAACTTTACTTTACCTCAGGTACCGGGACATTGGGTACCATAGGTACATGAGATGGTAGCTCTCCAAGTTGAAGATTTTGCAATGCTCTCTTTTTTCCTTCCTGTTTTCAGGTATAAAAAGTTCAATTGCTAAGACAATTACTGGGTTGAAATTCAAGAACCATAGGAAGAGTGTGTGAAGTGAAAGACTTGGTTATTTTGAAAAATAAACAGTATCATGATTTTTGAAGTGGACATTAAATTCTTACCAACATTTGTTCTTCGAAGGCTTTTCCAACTCTGTAGAGGAAAACCGGATCCTTAACAGCTCTAAGGGGTTCTGCTTCCACAACTTCATTAAGTTCTTGATCATCAGAGGACGTCATATTTGTTTCTTCAGTGAGAAACTATATGCTCTAACACAAGGAGCAGGGAATAAATTCTTACAATAAGATGAATGTAAGTAACTGAGATATGTCTAGAAGGGAAACATTCTCATGTATACACACAAAGAAAAATAATGTCATAATCATGTGAGATGTGGCTAGTATACACATTCAAAGATACGATATCTAACAATTGTTTATCATTAATTATTTCTAACAGTAAGTTTTTTTTTATTGAAGAATTTAGTATTGATTTCTAAAATTTAATAAGTTTCCCTTAAAACAATAGAATTTAGAAACTGTATATCATTTCCTTTGTGAAAAGAAAAGTGCTTGTTGAGGTAAAAAGACATTATTCATACTTGTAAGAACATTGAACTCTTGTCCCGAGTTTCAAGAAAACCTTGATCTCACCAAAACATTAAATCACAAGTCATTATTATCCTCCAATTAACTGTCTAGGAAAGGAAAATCTCAGAAGCTGAAAATAATTTGGAGGGCATCTCCTACTTCTGAAAAAAATAATAGGGATTTTTCTCAATTTTTTAGAAACAATAAAATGCCTCAGAATTCATTACACTTCTAACAATTGAAATATTCAGGATCAAGATTCAACATCCTTTATCTTCTTCATCGTAACTATCTATCCTTTCAAATTTAGGAAGAAACAAGAATAAAAGATCTGCTACACAGTTACAAAGTACAGTAGAACATGCAGCAAGAGAAGTTTCATATTAAGTAATAGAACAATGGAGATGATGCGAGACCAATTGAATTTCTGAATAGTGCATAAAGTTATACAATACCACCAAAATTCTACATATCAATACCAGTTTCATGTACAAATTAGGGCACTATTCAGGAAGAAGTTCATCATACCTTCATAATTCGATTTTCTAGCATTACATGTACACTTTCCTCACTCAGGATCATATTTTGACAGTTGTTCTCAGCTAAGATTAACAATATTCTAGACGCATTAAAACAAGTAGATGTGTCAAGAATCACCCTCATTCATATACTAATCCCTGAGGAAACTAAGCACTTTCTCTAAATTCCAATGTAATAGTAGATTGATTTATCATACAGAAAAAAAAATAGAGAATAGAGAAAAAAATTCAAAGACAATAATATTATTAATCTATATATATACCTTTTAACAGTTATATATTTTATGAAACGATTATGCATATATATATATATATATATATATATATATATATATATATATATATATATATGTATAAAAAAGTTTTAAAATAAACAAAATTAATTAACTTTTTTATTTGACTATTTACTAACACTTCTTCTTAAGTAATATCTACTAACGAATATGCTCTCTAAGACTTTTGAATTTTTCAAACTTCAAAGTTTTTATCAAAATATCAGTAAGTTGTATCTCAAACCTGCAATGTTCAATCTTCAATTTTTCATTTGAAACTTGCTTACAGATGAAGTTAAATCTAGTCTCAATATGCTTGCTTCCATCATAAGAGGCTGAATGTTTGACATAAACTATTGCATATTTGTTATCAATCAAAGCTTCAATTTACATGCTTATTTTACATTTGATTCCTTTATTAGTGAATCCAACCAAATTGCTTGACAAGTTGCTTCAGAGACAATTATATACTCAGTCTTACAGAATGAGAGAGTCACCACTGGTTCCTTTATAGAGCTCTAAAAAATTGGTGTTTTTTCAAGGAAGAACAGGTACCCAACAATGCTCTTTCTATCACTCTTATTACCACACTAATCAGCATCAGAATACCCCATCAACACATCATCCCCTTGTTAAGCAATTTCGGACATACACTTCACAAAGTCAATTTTGACAAGAAAATCATCAATCCACTTGTTTGATGCTCTCAACGCTTGCTTAACCCCATATAAGGCCTTTTTCAGCCTATACATTTTATGTTCTTCATTCCTATACTCAAACCCCCTAGGTTGTTGCACATAAACCTCTTCTTCAAGAGGGTCATTAAAAAGAATTGATTTAACATCTAACTGGTATAAGGACCAATTAGCATTCGTGACAATAACAACCACCAATATAATTATTTCTATCCTAGCAACAGGTGCATGGACTTCACCATAGTCTATTCCAGCTCTCTGCAAGAAGTTTTTGGCTACTATTTTATAATCTCACCCTTTGGATGTACTTTAATCTTATAAACTCACTTGAGTGTGATTGACTTCTTGTTTGGTGGCAACTTAACAAGCTCCCAGGTCTGATTCCTTTAAATTGAATTGATCTCCTTCTGCATAGCTTTTCACTAATGAACCTCTCTGGCTGCATCTTCAAACATGATTGACTCAGACTTTTCAATGAGTGTAAAATGCACTAGATCTCTCTCTGTTGACACAACTGAGTCACTAAACACTTCATAATCACGAAAATGAGATGAGACTTGTGCAACTCTGGATGATCTTCTCGCACCATGATTAACAAGTTTGTTTTGTTCCACTCAATCCTCATCTTCAAATAACACTTTAGAAACATTTGAATTCTCTTGGGGTGGTTATGCACGTCCATTCATACCAACACAAAATGTTCTGTTTTCAAACAGATTTGCATGAACCACCAATTTATGGTTTTTTGTCATGTACACTAAAATCATTCTCCTTCATTTTCATGACAAATCCTTTCTGTAAAAGTTGTCCGGGACTCATCAAGTTTGTCTTCAAACTTGGTACATACAACACATCATTAATGATGATTTCCCTACCATTATGATCCTTCAACACTACACGCTTAACCTCTTCTGCATTGAGACTACTGTTATCAGCAAATTTGATTTTGCTTTGAGACGCATCATTAATCTTGATGAACTAATCTCTCCTCCTAGTCATATGTGTGGAGCACCCTGAATGAAGGCACCAAGAAGAAGTTTCTTCTAAATTTATATCATTGGTTTTGGTCATCAACATCATCACATCAGAGTCTGAAAAAGCTTCATCTTGAGCTAAATTAGCTTGGCTTTTTAGCTTGTTCTTAGCACCTTTACCATTCCAACATTCACGTGCAAAGTTCTCATACTTCTAACAGTTGCAACACTTTACATTCTTCTTATCAAACTTACATTATTTATCATCATTATAGGTTTTCTGCTACTTCTTGTGATATTTCTTATTCTTGAAAGTATCATCTTTTTTTTCTTTTTAAATATTTTCTTTTGATGTGTTTTTTCCCCTTTGGATTGCTCTAACTTGAAGAGTATGTTATTGATTATACCTCTTCTCATTAATCCTAAATTCATATGTTCACTTCAAGAGAATATTGCAAACCTTCTACCTCCATCTCCTCCAAGTCTTTTATTCCTTCAATTGTCACTACAACATGATCAAGTCTCTGCGATAATGTTCTTAGAATCTTATCAGTAACCTGCTGATAAGTGATTGTGTCTCTGTAGGTTCTCATTGCATTCACATATTCTTGAACTTTATCAAAGTAATCAACCATGATCTCATTCTCATCCATGCTGAGAAAATCAAATGGTCTCCTCAAGGTTTTGCATCTTGATCTTTTTGTTCTTATCTTCGTCTCCATAAATCTTCAGCAAAATCTTCCAATATTTTTTCACTGTTATAACTTTGAAAATTTTGTTGAAAATCTTCGCTCCAACCCATTAGTAACTTAGAAATCTAACATTGTAGTCCAATTTTTGAATATTCTTGAAGTGTTTCTTGGATTCTTTTGTAGCCTTGTCTCCAGGGTCTTTAAGTTCACTCATCACCACATCCGCTACATCTTAAAACCTAAAAACAACTAACATTTTTATCTTCCAATCATCAAAGCTCTATCCATCAAACACCGGTAGTGCACCTTAAATGATACTTCATTCTCAGTCATCTTGAATTTATAAATTCAAGAGTTTCACCAATCTTGATACCTTCAACTTTTATTCGGTATTTTCAAGATTTTTCACTATTGAGGAGAATGGTTACACATTTCACACACCGAGACTCCCAAATGCTAATAACAAAAATTAAAATTTCTCACTTCACTCATAGGACAAACCTTGTCCTTAATACCGTGTTAATTCCAATGTAACAGTAGTACATTGGTTTATCACACAGTTACACGAAAATAGAAAACAAAGAAAAACAACCTAACACGGCAGTAGTATTAATCTGTGTAATACTTCAACCGCTATATATTTTATGATCGAATAGGCATATATAGAGCAATGTATAGAAAAAATTTAAAAGAAACAGAATTAACTAATCAATCGATTATTTACTAACACTTTCCTGTACAATTACCCACTTGCATGTGTTGAAGATAAATACACTGAGTAATAAGAACATAGTCAAATTAAGTCTTAGACCAATCGCATTTTGAAGAGGATACTCCAAAATTCAATGGTACCAAAGGGATACATCAGAATCGTTATATTCGGATGAACCAAACATCAACATGCACAACATTCTCTAATGTGGAAGGTTAGAATAGAGAAGTGAAGAATCTACCTTGCCAAACTCAAACACGGTGGAGAATGATGAAACAAGTACAAACTTGATTGATTACAGTGCCTTGAAAGAGAAATGGAGATTTGGTGACACAGGGTGCGTGATGTGAGCTTTAAAAAGTGAAAAGAAGATGTCGAGGACTTGTTGCCATTGAAAAGGTTCCTGACTTTAAAGACCTGGTATTTCACATTTTTCATAATAAATTGTATTAATTGTTGGGGAAAATTGATATTTAGTAACCTTTAATGAACATTTAATAAACACTTTTGTATTCATGCTTCTATTTAATAGGTGAGGAAGGAAAATGAGTTTTAATAATTTCATAATTGAGTAGTTGATTTTATGTGTTCATTTCAGGGATGTTTAACTTAAAATGGATAAAAAAAAATCATTTTCTTTGAATTTTTTATATTTTGTTTTCAATTATAAATGATTTAGTTCATATTTTAGATTAAAAAAATTAATTAAAGTACATATTATAGTTAAAAATAATAATATATGTTTAGAGTTAATTAATAATTAAT